TTACATATCTGGACTAGTGACCATTTATAAATATGGTCAACAATAATACATGTGTATTATCCAAATAACTTAAATAAATCAATGAAATGTTGATGGGAGATCACGATTTGGTTAGTGTTATTATATCTAACAAAACATAAATGATGATTCAGCGATTTTTTTCTTCTTTCATATTTGGGAATAATTTCCTTTTCTCTTTCTGTTTATTGAAAACTTGATTGGATATCAGACAGTTGAATTGATATGATTTCTCTTTTGATTATTTTATTTTCTACACATCTATCTAGACCATGGTCTATCCAGAATGTCTTTCCAAAATATGCCGAGCTAGCAATTAAATTGAAGATTTTGACAAAATACACGTATTTAATAACCTAGTATTATTATTTCTGACAAGACAAAGTTAACTGATTCGGCACACTGTAGCTTAGCGAGATGTTTCCAGCGATCTTGAGTCGAGACACTAGCTTAGCGAGATGTTTCCAGCGGTCTAGAGTCGAGACACTGTAGCTTAGCGAGATGTTTCCAGCGGTCTAGAGTCGAGACACTAGCTTAGCGAGATGTTTCCAGCGATCTAGAGTCGAGACACTAGCTTAGCGAGATGTTTCCAGCGGTCTAGAGTCGAGACACTAGCTTAGCGAGATGTTTCCAGCGGTCTATAGTCGAGACACTGTAGCTTAGCGAGATGTTTCCAGCGGTCTAGAGTAGACACTGTAGCTTAGCGAGATGTTTCCAGCGGCGGTCTATAGTCGTATCTACTTGACAAACGAAACAGACGTTTGCAAAAGCTCGCAAAATAAACTGGATCTTTATGATCGTTCAGTGCAGTGGAGAACAAGTCTATGTGTGACCTGCCAAGACAAATCCCTTAAAAAACAAGATTCCGTTGTTAAACTAACAGGTATCAAATAATTTCATTTTTCCTTACAAATTAAAAATGTATTTCTGAGTCATCAGTAAATTGGTTTTCACTTAAACTTTCATCGTGATCCCGACTTACTTATTTGCTTGAGTTATTTGTACCATTTTACTCTGAGGATTATTATTAACACATATCTCATCAATGACAAACCTACCACTATTCTGATTCGGCAATTCTGTCCGCCCAACACTGACACACTTTAAAAAATAAGGAAATAGTTGGCATTCATTGCATTAAAACTCTGAAAAGAACGTTGAAAGGTGTCTCTTTCTGTTTGTACAATTAAACCTTCAGTGTGCATCGTACATTGTTGTGACTTCCATATACTCGTTTTCAAAATGGTGTCTGGGCCTGAAAAAGTAACGTTTTCCGATGGCTTCACATCTGTAAGTTCTTTTCATATATGTGCACGAATCCGCGGTGCTACATGTACAGTCAGTCATGACAAGATCAGAATCAGTGACTATTTGCGAATCGCGTCACGATTATTAATTTCGGCTGAAACATTTACAAATGTATATGTTTACTAAAAAAATATAAAAACACAGGTATTAATCCACGTATCTATACGGCCACCTTATGTCTATGATTATGTAAGTCTCTGTCAGCTACCGAAACCTTTATTGGGTAAGTCTTGTTTTCTTCTACAATTTATTTTTTTAGCTTGATAATCCCAGAAAATATACAGATAATTATAGTTGTAAATAATCAAAATAAGACATACTGACGAAGTATCCTCTTCGCGTCGATTTGATGTAATAGGCAATAATACATTATTCATACCTAAAATGTCAGTAATAACTTACTTCATGCTAAATTTTTTGATATTTGATTACTATTCCCGTATTATACCGAATCTTACTTTGAACCATAACGTGTTAATTGGAAACTATTTTGAATCATGGAGTGTTCCACGGACGTGTTTACGAAGAATTGTTACTTATGTTTATACTTTAGGTATAAGTGATTAAGAATATTTAATAACTATTATTATATGTATACGGCATTGCTAGGACTGAAGAAGCCGACAACCTCTGACCACAAAATCCCGTTTAGCCTTAAAGCTGATGTTGACCATGGCATGTACAATGGGCGAATTATGAAACCACTTTAATGTAAGCGTGACCACGCGTACGTGACTCATTCCGCAGGGACTTGGGAATTCTTCAAGAATTTGTTACAGCTATATTTTGACCTAAACTGAGGTTTAAGAGTAATTTACTCATTTTAGGGGTTTAGAACAACTTTCGGTAAAACCACTTGTATCTATCACCACTGGGGTGGAAGTTTGACCGAAGGTTGTTTCAAACCCATAAACATGTAGTATTACTCTGAACATTTCAATTTAGGACTATATGTAGCTGTAACGAACTATCAGGTCCATGTGAATCATTCCTGTATAGTCTCTCATTTCTGTCATTATACTACCTAGAGTACGTGTCTCCTTGACTTGTATACTGTGTATACACACAGATCATACGTAATTTACAACAAAACGACAATACAATTCGTTACGTTATACACTTATCGGCCACTCAGTGAAATAAGATAGAGAGCTCAATGAATAGAGACCATTTAGTGCCGGTAGTGAAACGTATTGGATTTACATACATGTAAAGTATTAAAAATCCATGTCGGAAAACTGCCACTTCAGTTCCTCTCAAGAATAGAACTGGTAGTATTGAAAAGGATCTTAATCGAATTACCAATTCTAAAGAAAAAGACACTCCGTCCTTAAGAAATATTCCAGGTAATGTTACAAATTAAAAAATAATTTCTGAGTCATCAGTTTATTAGTTTCTACAAGGCCGTCGCTATTACCACCGGAGTGTCAATAGCCACTATGCCACTCGTGTGATTATAACGACGGCCCCGCGCGGCGTGGCTTTTGACACTCGGGTGGTAATAGCGACGGCCCTGCGCGGCGTGGCTAGGTAATAGCGACGGCCCCGCGCGGCGTGGCTATTGACACTCGGGTGGTAATAGCGACGGCCCTGCGCGGCGTGGCTAGGTAATAGCGCCGGGCCCGCGCGGCGTGGCTATTGACACTCGGGTGGTAATAGCGACGGCCCGGCGAATATTGTAAGTTATGGCTGTTTTTGAAAAGCGGTGTTGAAGTTATGACAGTTTCCAAAATTATTACAAGCGGCAAAAATGATCGCCTAAAAGAGTATGGTCAGTTTAATATAGACATGTAATAATAAATAACAATAATATACAACATTTGATATAGCGCCCTATCTAGCTAACATAAGCCACTCTAAAGCGCTTTACATGTTTATGATTTGACAATGCGATACTTAATAATGTACATTTAGTGTACAATTTATTACATAGGTATGCTTACGTTCAAGAGGACAGGGATATTCAATTTTTAAAATTCAATTTTAAATGGGACTTAATTTCCACAATGTTCACAATGTTTATATTATTAAACACCCTGCACATACCAGATACAACTGCACATAGAGGCCAGACGTTGGGTTGGTATTTCTCGCCAAGAATATAATCTGTGTTTCGAAGAGATTGGCAAAGAATATTGTTATTTGTTTACTTGTAAACACGAACCAACCAATATGTCTAATCAGAACTGAGGATATTCCAAACTATCATTCCAATTGTCCCAATATAAGAATGATTAGAGATTTATTTTCAGTGTAATATACGTCTTATGTCACATGCAAGGTCACACTAGCGTGTGTCTTAGTGAAATACAAATCTGTATACTCTGTCATCCCGTGGTGTCTGGGGATAGACTGACTGTACCGGCTGAATTTGTACAACATACATTCAAATTTACATGTTGTAGAAACTGTACTGTTAACCGATCGAAACAACTAAGCATTCAGTTTTCATTTTATGAACACAATGAATAACCAAACTCCGCAGAACGAATTCCAAAACGATTTTAAACGGCTCTCTCTTTGAATGAAATTATTTAATAGTTTATTACTTGCAGCGTCAATTAACTGTGATTTTGTGTGGGCACATGCTACTTCCTTTTATTACCTTACATTTTTGTTTTATTTCCCTCCTGTCTAACAAAACAATGTATCCATAAGTTAATATAGAAGAAACGTGAGAAAATGACTGTCTATGTCTGCGAGTTCATGATATTTGTTATTAATAACAACGGTATGTTGTAAAAGTTAAAGTTTTTGGAAGAAAACAATAATAATCAAAATGAAAATAAAAAGCTGAAGATCCAATTAGGCTGTATCTGCATTTTTTCATTTTTTTTTTTACAAAAAATGCACAAAACTGTATTTTCTGTTAACATGATGAAGACAATAGTGCCCGTGTCTCCTCCCAAACTTCTGTTATCTTTTGTATTGTCCCCCTTCGATCTTATTTAGTTTAAGAAAAGTGTTGCATATAATGTATACTTCGTGAGTAATCTGAAAAATGCATAATATGATTTATCCATTTATTGAACAGACAATAAACCCTTATACAGGTAGCTGAAATTCGTTTTTAATTTGCAGTCTTTCCCATGCTGACCTGGAGTATTCGACCAACTTAGAGTTTGGGTTGGTTTTATATCGTTTAACGTCCTATAATCTGCTAAGGTAATTTGGTGATTACTGTGTATATGACAGAGATATTGACTGCATATATTGAGTCACAAATATATATACTACACCAATGATCTTGATGTCATGACCTTGATACAAACTACAGATGTTACTAAATGAACGATACTTTCGGTAAATTATTAATTTGCTGTAGAAGTTTAAGCATCAATTTTAACAACAAATGTTATGTTAATTCGATATCAAGAATTGTCTATCACCTCAAACTCCGCGACCGATAAATTTCATATCTGATGAAAAAATATATATTGACGAGGGGACATACATGTATGAGGGGAGATAACTCGTGAAATGTTACATGAATTAAACAATGTCACAATAGCCTCCAACTCCAAAAACTTAGTGTGTTGGTGATACGGTACTCTGTGAGCTTCTAGTACGTGATATTAAAAATTAAATGTATTTCTTTCCGTGACACTAAAACTTCCACCTACAAACGTATATACACTGTATCATACACCTGTTACATATTTGTCATGTGACGGCAGATAAAGATGGCGACTGTTTGTAAACATCTGATAGCTGTGTTAGTCCTGTTGGGTGTATGTGTGGGCGGGGCACGCTACACCCCGGACTGGGACTCCCTGGACACTCGACCCCTCCCCCTCTGGTATGATGGTACCAAGGTGGGAGTGTTTATCCACTGGGGCGTGTTCTCCGTGCCAGCGTTTCGGTCTGAATGGTTTTGGTGGGACTGGCAGGGCGCTAAGTATAACGACTGTATCGAGTTTATGAAGGCAAACTACCCACCCGGCTTCACCTACCCAGACTTCGGGCCCAAGTTCACTGCATCACGGTTCGACGCAAACAAATGGGCGGAAGTCCTGGACAAGTCGGGGGCAGGGTAAGTACCACAGGATCAAAGTGAAAGTAGATGTTGTTAAGTAATTTGCATATTTGCGTTGGAGGCACCAAAGGGGGTAAACGTGTTAATCTATAAATAAGTTCTCCTTGAAAACGGATCATACATTTTGACACGTATTTCGAATCCAAGGGCAAACTTAGTTTAAGGGGCAGAAGGGCGAGGCCGAAAAAGGGAAATAAGTGTTAATTTTAAATTGAAAGGTTGAGGCCTATTTAGGGGTGGGGGATGGGTGGAGACAAAAAGGGAAATATGGAAGTAATGTTTAGAGGACTACACACGTTCAACCTTATTAGGCAAAGGAAATCCTCGTAAAATAGGAATTCATATTGTATTGTTAATTGGCGGCATGCAGGTTGGTGGGACCTACAAAAAGGAACATGTCTTTAAAAGAATAACGTGTAGAGATATAAACATAGGCCCTAAGCGTTTTATGTACCAAAACTGTTGACGTATTGAAATTTAAACGCTGTTTCAAATAAATACGGAGCAGCATCTGTGGTAGTGGGTTGGGATGGGGCATGGGATGGGGCCTTGTATATCGATGGGGGCTGAGGATGGGGGGCTGGGGCTGTTCCAAAAAGGGGAAATCTAGGTTAATCGTTTTATCAGCAGTACGTATAACCTCTTTGTGAGAGATACATGTATGCACTGCTACTCTCTTAAACTAAAAACAAACTTACCCACTGAGCAGTAGTTATAATAAGAATGAAAATAACAATGTTCATCACAAATATTGCATATAAATCACACTATTATGAATATAGATACAATTATGATTATAAGTTTCGAATATAATAACTTGATTATTAAAGGAGACTGCTTTACTATATAAAAAACAATATGTATGACATTAAACTAAAACAATGTAACTTTTGTCAAGCCATATGCATTATTTTTCATACAATGACAATGGTTTTATTCTCATAAACAACACAGTGTAGAGAATACATATATACAAATGGGTGGCAATAATACATGGTGGAACAGGATGGACATTAGTATTGTAAATTAATTATGTCATCAATATTGGTAATACATCTAGCCAATGATGTCAATTCATGTTGTGTTACATATTTGAATAATGTATGATATTTAAATGTGTTTGGTCTTTCATAATAATATCTGGACATATGTTTTCGCCTACTATTGAGAATTGGTTGATGTGTACATGTAAACAGATAATGAAATTTGTCGCCAATTTCTGTTAAATAACATAAACTACATACTCTATTTTCACGTGGTATATTGGACCACCTACGGTAACTTAGTAGTACATGTTCTAAACTTACAATACACTTTGGCTAGTTTCGGAGGGAGTTCTAGTAAGTACTTTTCTAAACAGAGTTCGTACTTATATAGTCTATAATTGGTTCCTTTCGTAGAAGTATACATTTCATTTCTCCAGTTTGATATAAATTTTCCTTTTAGTTTATAAAATATGGTACTTTTTAGCCCATGTATACTTTGAAACTCTTGACTATTAAATATATGTATCAGACTGCATTCTTCAAAAATACTTTTCACATATTTAGCCATGATGATTCATAATTTGATAAAATTGCTAACGGTTTATTGCTTAATTTATTCTGGTTGTTTTTTGTCAATTTAGCCCAAAATCCTACCATTCTTTATGGAACGCCATAGCTGTCACATATGGCATAAAAATACTATATGAATTGATATTATGTGATTTGATTTTATCATTATATGATTTGGTTTCCATTGTATTGTAAGCTTTCATCATTATATTATTTGATTTTATCATTACATGATTTGATATTATCGTTATATGATTTGGTTTCGCCATTATATTATACGCTGTTGTCGTGATATGATTTGGTTGTATCGTTATATTATTCGATTTCATCAATATATGATTGAACTTTATCATTATATTATTTAGTTTCAACATCATAGTATATTCTTTCGTCATTATATGATTTAGTGTAATCGTTATGTTATTCGATATTTTATCATTATACCATTCCGTCATCATATTATTCACAAACGTCATGATGTTGCACAACTTCATTATATTATTGTACAACTTCATTATACGTTGGATACAATTCTGACAAGCGTCTCCGCGAATCCGAAGTAAACGGAACTTTTCACCGGGGCCCCTTTCTGCCATGTTACTACGTTAATACCGCCATTTCTGACGAACGAAGCGGTGCTGCTGATGCGATTTGTAAGTATAGCTAAAACCTCAAATGTAAAGCAGCATATAGGCATAGGCTTATCTTTTGGAAAAAGTCGTGTTTTGTTTGTAAAATATACTGATTTAGTGAGTACTGAATAGGCTGAAATCCTATAGAAGACACAGTGGCTATCCTCCACCATTAGACAGCAACATACAGATGTCGGTGCATTCTCGGGGGGCTGAGCGGATATGGTAGTTGATTGCATTGTACCCGTCCGTCCTTCCATCCTTCTGTCCTTCCGCCTTGGCTCTATCCCCGACATACACTCGGGTAAAACACAATAAAGGGCCCAGGTAGAAAAGATGAATGTTATAGATCTAGAGGCTTCACAATAACACACGTCATTGCAAAACTTTTGTTTTAAGTTCAAAATTTGTAGACTAGGTTGTTGGATATTGACACAAAATTTCAGCTATTTCTGACCAAGCATTTCTCAGAATGTGTATAATAATGTATGGAAAATGTGGCAATTTCGGACATTATTCTGTTGCACTTCAAATTTAAGCATTTTTTGCACAACTAATATTTAATAAACGGTG